CTGAGCTCCACTATAGCAATTTTCATGATGAGGTTCAAAATTTCAAGAGGCCCTCTGTGAGTTTGGCTATTTATGGAGTTGTCGTTAACTATAGGCAATCGTGGCTCTCCTGGGTAGTCCAGTCTACTGTCTGTCGGAGCCATAAAAATGTAACTCTACTGAGCATTATTGCACACCTATAAAACGATCGCGCCAAAGTCTTATTCAGTGAACCAAGTGTGTCTCGATCGCTGTATCGTCATAGAGAGTTATTCGTGTGTGACGGCGGCTTTGAAACGTGGTGTAGCGGCTAATAGTGGTCGAGACATATAATAGCCTGCCTATGTGCGCTAGCTCGATGAATAGGGTTGGACAGGCTCTCTAGAAAATTCCAGGTCACATAACCAACTAAAAATGTATGTTGTTTTAGTGCTATTTTTTCTTTATTTTACCATCGCTTGTTTTCATTAGATTGGTGAATACTTAGAATGAAAATTGTATCTCTCTCGTGGATTATTTCTCTTTTCTGTATTATGGTAGGCGGCTGCGTGGTTATGACCCTGAGATTGCTGATTTCCATGAGGTATAATGACCACTCACCATTAGATGGATGGTATGTTTGACTTTATTGCTCAGATCGGTGGACGAGCTCACGGCTGACCTGGTGTTAAGTGATTATGGAGTCCATAGACATAATTAACGTAAATGCTGCCACCCACCTTTAGATATAAGTTCTAAGTCTCAGTTTTCAGTACAATGGTTGATCCGCCCTGCAAACTGAAACGCGTTATTGCTTTACGACAAAAATTGGCAATCCGGTGATACCTTTCGGCGGGTTTGTTTCTTATTACACGATATTGTTTTCTTATTATACTCCTTCGTCGTTTACTGGTGGGAGGGCCTCTTGTGAGTCCGCACGGGTAGGTACCACCACCCTGCTTATTTCAGCCGTGAAACAGTAATGCGTTTCGTTTTGAAGGGTGGGGCAGCCGAGGGCAGTGAGACCTTGGAACTCATATCTCAAGGTGGGTGATGGCATTTACGTTGTAGATGTCTATGCGTTCCGGTAACCACTTAACACCAGGTGTACTGTGAACTCGTCCACCCATATAAGCAATAAGAAAAGTCAGTCGTGAATTTGTGTTAAGTACGGATTTTATTACAGAAATTAATACCGACAGTCAGATAACTTGGACAAAGTGATTATGACGGGCAAAGTAGAAAGAAAGAGACCCCGCGGCCGATTACCTAGCCGTTGGTGTGATCAAGTAACCGCTCTAACTGGGTTGCCAGTCGCAACCGCCATTCGAGCAGCTGAGGACCGGACGAGATGGAAACAGCTCACGAGACAGGCAACGGTCAAGTTTCAGGGACACGACCTTCAGCAATGAAGAAAGCGACGAAGAAGAAGAAGAAGTCTCATCCTTCATGCCACTCGACCAAAACCGTGTAACACACGGGCAAAAAAGCGAACGAAACTAATAAAATAAATATGTAATTTAGGAATAATAATAATAATAATAATAATAACTCTTTATTTATATAACACCTTAATATGTACAGAGTAAAGTAATAAAACAAAAGTCGGTATATAAATCGGCGGCCTTATCGCTGAAAGCGATCTCTTCCAGGCAACCTTGCAGGGAGAGGAATAAGTTAACCGGACGGTGCTATATCTTAATAAACTTACATAAAAATATATACTTAAATACACATGTGAAAAATAAATACCATATAAGATAAACTTACATACGATTAAATACAAATAAATACTAAAAATATACAAGATAAATCAGATTTAAAAAGGTATAAAAAAATGTTAGACCTATGGAGCGATTTTCCGAATGTTTTAACTAAATTAAGATCCCCCATGTAAATTATTTTATTCTTGGTGTCAGTCTATCTGTTCAAGCTAGATGATTTCAGCACAAAAACCTTGTTTGAGTGAGTTACGTCAGCAGCCAGCGGGAAAATGTCTCCACTATTAAGAATAACTCCTTAATGGACTTACGTTGTTCTAAGTTCGAACGACAATCTCTATACAATCTAGATAGATATATACAGTATTGTTACGCGCTCGGGTTCGGGATAAATAAAATTCTACCGAATTACAAGTTAACACTATATTCAACACTTAAAACACTTCAGAAACACTATAAAACTCTCATTCGCTTCTTCCGCTTCGCTTCAGGTGTTCCGTTCGCTGTTTCGCTCCGAGTAGTTCCGATTACTAACTGACTGCGTGCCATCTCTGCAACGCTTTTATAGCCGATAGATACCACATCCCTAGAATTATCGAGAATATTCCACACATTTCTAGTATTGTGTTCCCGTTATCTGACAATAGATGGCGTTGTAATTCGCGAGCGTTCTAGGTGCTACTAGACCCTTCGATATTTGTTCGACTATTCGGCGATAGATGGCGTTACTCTTACCGGCGTACAGTATGTTTGCAAAGGGGCGACTCAAAATGCTTTCTGAGCAATTTTCCTTGATCGCGTTTTTTGTTTCCATATTAATTTTGAATCAACTAATACTTCTCGCAATTGCTTCAAGAAAACTGACTTTCTTGCGAATAAAACTATTTTTCCTTAGTTTTCATGCAGTAAGTTTATTTCCGTCTCCGAGGTTACTACTAAAGAAAACCGAATCGCTGTAATTAGAAACTAAAAAAAAAATATAACATCATCAGCATCCGAAAAAACCTTAACACTTTTCGAACTGCCCCACGACGGAGTAGTTTTTAATTAAAAGTTCACAAAGCACTTTGAAACGCGTAAAATTCACGTTGAATACAATTTTTTTTTTTTGTAACTTTTCGCAATTGTTCTTCTAATTACGTTTACAATTTACGTGCTTCGTTTTAAGCGAAAGATAAATTGTGTGGATCTCTAGGGAGAGCTTTGTTGAAGTGGCTGTCCGTCCGTCCGGCTTATTAATTTAGTGAATATTCATTTCACATCCAAAATTTTTCAAATGACAAGCATCGATGAACTCCTAAGATCGTTACTCGTTCATTCACTCCTACTGCATTTATTTTATTGCTTATATGGGTGGACGAGCTCACAGCCCACCTAGTGTTAAGTGGTTACTGGAGCCCATAGACATCTACAACGTAAATGCGCCACCCACCTTGAGATATATCTCCGCCGTTAGACCTTTAACCTTAGAACTTATAAGTTCTAAGGTCTCAAGTATAGTTACAACGGCTACCCTTCAAACCGAAACGCATTTCTGCTTCACGGCAGAAATAGGCAGGGTGGTGGGACCTACCCGCGCGGACTCACAACACAAAAGATCCTACCACCAGTGGATATATCTTATATCTTTAAACGAGCAATTCTTGTATATAAATATATATATAATCTGAATCTCGGAAGCGGCTCCAACGATATTCATAAAATTTAGTATACAGGGGATTTCGGGGGCGATAAATCGATCTAGCTACAATTTATTTTCTGAAAATGTTGTTTTATTCGTGTTTTCGATAATCAACTTTATCGATAATTTTGATTTTTTCTTTAAATAATCATTTCATATTTTTTTATTATTCTGTCGGTAAGATCGAAAAATATTATTCATATTTCATCATTTTATCATTAAGTAATTCTTATTTAAACATAATTTCAAAAAAACACAATTTATCAAAAAAAAAGTACAATATAAAAATCTAGTATATTATAGTAATCGGGAAATTGTCATATTGTTTTTGTGTGTGTAATAAGTCATTTCTTTTAATTTGATTTAATTTTAAATTGATTTTTATTTTCTTCAAATTCGTTTCTATAATTCATTTTTAAATGTGAATATTTTAATTATATTAGGGGTAAATAATTATCGCTTTATCGCTGGTGGTCTAAGAGGCTATTTCAGGTACGCTCAGACGGGTGTTAACTCTGCTTCAGTATTAATGGAAACGATTTTAGAACGTAACCCACCTTGTTCAGTAATTACTGGAGTCCATAGACCTCAAAACCGGACCGGACCGGTCCGGACCATTGTCATCCAGCATGAGACATGAGGTCGGTTCCGATTTTGTATTGAGCTAACGACTGCCGCACCCTTCAAACTGAAAAGCGTGATTGAATCGCAGCAGATATAGGCAAGATTCCGGTCAATAACCTTCGCTGTCAATATTGACGTAATTGAATTTATACATGTTGCAAAATGGGCCGATATCTATATATTAATACGTGAAGCAAAAACTTTGTACCCCTTTTTACGAAACTTGCGCGGACGGAGGAGTATGTCCCACACTTATAGAGAATATAACGAAGGAATGCCGAATGGTATTTTTTTTAATTATGCATTAATAATACATTAAATCAATAAAAAAAAACTCACACACACTACCATGTATTTGACACATACACACGCATGCATACCTACTGTTTGTTTATTGTCAAACTTTTCTTATTGGTCAAATTGAGAATAGATTGAATACCTATTGTTTGTCGTTATTAATATTTTTCTGTGATTATAGAATTTGACAATAGAATCATAATAATGTTCAAACTTATAATTTCTATTAATTATAGTCGAATTTCGACTACCAAAGGACCACTAGTCTTCATTATTTCTTGACATAGTGGGCGTATGGTGGGTAGTCGTGTAAGATTGCACAGCACGAAACAATGAAAGTTCCGAGACATCTTCACTCTTCCTAAATCCGGTAACGAATATGCTTCGATTCAACCCGAGCGATGACACCTCGAGTCGAGCCGAAACACACCACCCGAAGTGAGCCGATGTTTGACGAGTTGCGTCTCACATTTAACTGGTGGCCTTTGTTTCGTTTCGGGGACATACATTTTATATATTAATGGGTTTTCCTTAATAATATGGTGATCTAGATTGAGCAGTAAAATTAATAAATCAGTTACATGAATAAATCAAATGCATGATTTAACTGTAAAAGTTATTATTAATAAGAATCCGTCCTGCGGAAATCTCAAAAATACAGTACAGTCTCAAAATGAATGTCTTCATTACCACGATTTTGAAGTTAACTTTTATTACAGGGTGCCCACGCCTCGCGGCTCGGTGTCCAGCACAAGCAGCACGAGTGCTGGATCCAGGCTAGCTCGACTGCTGACCCAGGGGGTGCGTGGTACCCCCGAAGAGATCGCCATTGATGCCCCCAGGAGACTTAGTTGGGAAAGGTAAGAAATTAATATAAACTAACTAGTTGACCCGGCAGACTTTGTAGTGCCTCAATCGATAAATAAAATACCTAAACTTTTGTATAAAATAAACTTAAAACAAACAAAAGGAATCCGTCCGACGGGGGACACATCAAAGGAAAATACAAAATTGTTACTTTTATTTAATTCCGAGCATTTTCATATTTATATCTACCTTTTAAACCTTCTCTAGACTTCCACAAATAATTCAAGACCAAAATTAGTCAAATCGGTCCAGCCGTTCTCGAGTTTTAGCGAGACTAACGAATAGCAATTCATTTTTATATATATAGATTTGCTACTACACGTATTTTTATCTGTACTGTACGAAATTAGTTTATTAAAGAGACTGTTGAGAATAACATTGAAAAAATATGTTGAAAAAGCTATCTAACTTCATAGCTCAGGTATTCGATTGTGAGAGTGAACAGTCCAATAGTCCCACTATTAATTAGCGGCATTTTGAATGCACTCGGGGTGTTTGTTTTATTTCTTAACAAGCGAACCGCCCTGGCTTCGCTTCGGAAACATAAAATTTTATTATTGATTATTTACGACATCACATTAGAAACCTCAAAAATAACGGTATTTTTCCACTATTTAATGTATGTTATTATACATATAAACCTTCCTCTTCAATCACTTTATCTATTAAAAAAACCGCATCAAAATCCGTTGCGTAGTTTTAAAGATTTAAGCATACATAGGGATATAGGGACAGAGAAAGCGACTTTGTTTTATACTACGTAGTGATTAGTGTTTATTTCTTTATGTTGAAAATGTTTTTGTTCAGCTTACGACATCTAGCACCAATATTGCGAAGAATGAAACATCGATTACTTGAAAGTAATGCTACATTCCCTTAACTCATGATACCTTCTTCCTCTTCATTTACTCCGCGAGAGAGCTAAAGTTCTTTTTCCGTGACAACGTTTACCCGCCTGATGGACAGTGAGGTCGAATCCCCTATTTGTATTAAGTAAAAACAAATGACATTAGCAACGTCCCACCCTTCGCTCGAGTGTTTTTTTTTATAAGAAACCTTTATTGTTTAGACTGCGTGTTTCATTCCGTGGAAGTTTTCAAGTAATTTATATTCGTAACTCAACGGAACGTTTACTTCAGCAATGTGTATTTTGAAACTTTTAAAATACAAAAATTCTTTTAAATATTTTTAGGTTAAATTCTCACGAGAAGAAAAAAAATCCAGCGGTTTCATTCTGTGCGGTTTTTATATTAAACGTGTAGTCGTAGACTTATCAAGAGATATATCGGGTTATGTATTATGGTCCTTTACATTTAGTTCAAGCACGATCGATATAAACAAAACAAACTAAGCTAGAATTAATTAGGCCGTGTTAATTAACAACGGGAAACCTGTTATAGCTGTTGTTATAGTTAGTTATAACCTATTCCTTCAAATCATGTGCGTGGGTATGGATAAATCGTTTTCCATCAAAATTAATCAAATTAAAAAAACGGATACAAATCACACACGGTCGCTTGGCCCCAATTCAAGATTCCCTGCACTAAGGGAAATAGAAACTGATATACATACTTATATATTTATTCAAATTCAAATTAAACATCTAGTAAAGGACTAAAGTCATGATCTTCGGCCCTCTATTCAAAGGTATTAACTACAGTTTAAAAAATATTTTTAATAAACTTCAGTATCTAGATTCATTCGCGAAGCAGCTGCTCTTGAGTTGTCAGGTCTCCTTCGGAGGCGCTCAGGCTCAAATGACACCCCTCTTGGCTGAAAAAAAAATGACACGGCTAATTAGATAGGGGCATGGCTATACCCCTGAAATTGCTGACGTTCACGAGCTGGGAATACTTCGGACCGCATGCGCTAACGTTAGAAAAAAATCTATTGAATTTTCTATCCTAAGTCGATTTTAGTAAATAACGCAAGAAGGTCTACATCTCAACATTTTAAATTTTCTATTGTGAATTAAAATGTGTTTTTTTTTTATATTTAAGATAGGAACATGCTCAGAAAGATATAGGCACAATCGCATGCTTCTCTGAAACGATTTTTGGCTATAAAAAAAAAACAAAAAAAGCATCACATACATTCAGAAATTGAAAACGATTTAGAACCATTAAAACATTGTAATTCACAACTTTCATTATTCGTCTATAAGCAAATTCGCTTTGATTCATCAAGCAATTTGTGTAGCGTAGAAGTTCACGAATACCCACCCACCTAACTGAGTTACGAAGCCAGTAACAAACAGAGATTGTGTTTATCAATAAAATTACGGAACGGGAACCATGGGCTTCTGTAGTTTTGTAATTAGCCAGACAGAGTTACGGCCGGTTTGTTTACAGCTCGAATCAGAGGTGTCAGAGATTGTTTTAGGTTTAGACACAAGAAATACAGGACACGGGTCGGGTGAGGTCGTTGTATCTACGCTCGTAAATTAAAATTCAGTCTCGTCTGACTGAAAAATAAACCGTATTATACCGTTAACTGAATAACCACGTTAATTTTACTGGTGGTAGGACCTCTTGTGAGTCCGCGCGGGTGGGTACCACCGCCCTGCCTATTTCTGCCGTGAAGCAGTAATGCGTTTCGGATTGAAGGGTGGGGCAGCCGTTGTAACTATACGTGAGACCTTAGAACTTATATCTCAAGGTGGGTGGCGCATTTACGTTGTGGATGTCTATGGGCTCCAGTAACCACTTCACACCAGGTGGGCTGTGAGCTCGTCCACCCATCTAAGCAATAAAAAAAAATCAAAAATTATAATACCATCCCCAGTCACCGTCAGAAATGAGTTATAAGTCTTAGTTTTTACAGTACAAGTTAGCGCTTCACAGCAGAAATAGGCATGGTGGTTGGTACCTACTTGTACGGGCTACCAGTAAAACTATTCGTCTATATTACTCTAAATTCAGTGTAGTTGTAGTCGCGTAATTCGCATTGCAATAGATATTTCGAGTTTTTGCAGATTTAGACCATCACCCCAAATGATATTCTAAAGCCACACTATTTTTTTTATCTCAAATACAACTCAAATACTGAATGTAAATTGAATGTAAAAAATTTATTTAAAAGTTATTTTATATAAGCTTAAACAAGCAGGTTTCATTCTCAAAGGTTATTTAAACGCAATGACCAGCGTTTAAATGTCAGATTTAACTGCTATTGGCAGTGCTATTGGCTGAGTTTAGTTTTATATACGTGACATAATTTATATGCCAAATTTGACATCCATTCATTCGTGTACTACTACGTGTACGTCCAAAAGCTTATAGTACAACGGTTTTCTATCCAGATTCACTTAATTACCCTTTTAAACATAACATAAATGAAAAAACCTTAAGCTGTTGATAAATGACGACACAAGCTCAATTGAGCTTATTTTTGTCAATAGATGTACTCCATCTTATAACCTTTATTAATAATTAAAAATGTTCTTATTATTTTACTCAATTTCCTTATCCTATTCTTAGTTTTCTATTTCGTGCAATAGTGAGCGACTTGGTCCTCCGTGCCGAATTATTTCGTAAAGTAATCACGCACACAGTTCTGTCTAGTCTAGTTCTAATCTAGTTTAGTTAGTAGTGTCTGTCGATAAATTCAGCTTAGTTTACAGAGTCAACCGAGTCAGTTGATTTGTTTATCTTAGATTCACAGCTGTAGCTCTTAATTGAATAAATTTGATCACATTTTTTAATACGCTTTTATAAGCTTCGGACGTATGTATATAATTTATAACAGAATCTTTGAACATGATTTTGACCCCCTTCAAAACGTTGGATTAGCTCGAAATTTGGTATAATTATTAAGAACCGATGACAATTCAATATTAGAAAAAATATTGGAAAAATTGAAATTCAACTAAAAAATGAAAAATAAATAATAGTTTAAAAAAATTAACAAAATACGTGGGGTGCTTTTCAGGATATTATCAAAATAACCCTTCTACTCATATCTGTTCATAAAATATTTATAACTACTGATACCATGCACTCCACGTTTTTTTATAATAAAATAATTTTTTGTTACACTATTTTTAATTCAAATTTATTAAAATTTATTTTCTATTTTTTAGTTGGATTTTCTATAAAAGCGTATTTTGTTAGTTTTTTTAAACTATTATTGATTATTATTACAAGTTTAATGACAATTACAAAGGCACCACACAACTTGGAAGACGCTCTACCGCAGGTGTCAAAATTGTATTATCTAAAACTTAGACCTAAGTTATAAATTTAGTGTGCCTCAGATTAGAATCTATTTTAACTTCAGCCTATTCGCCAAACTTGAACTGAATTGAGTATTTAATAATTCAAGTGATCCTGAAATTTTGAAGTTTGTATCTGGGCAATGTTTCGAGTCTTCGAGTCAATTAAGTTTTATTATAATGAATGACAGTTATTGTATAACATAATTGTTTGGAATTGTTCGATAGGATAAGAAGGTAGTGACATTGCTTTATTGAAAGAACATAATTATTATTGCACTAGCTGACCCGGCAGATTTCGTAGTGCCTCAATCGATTAATAAAAGACCTAAACTTTTGTATAAAAAAACAAACAAAATCCGTCCGACAGGGGGGACATAAAAGTAAAAACATAATTGTTATTTTTATTTAATTCCGAGGATTATCATATTTGTCTACCTTTTAAACATTCTCTGGACTTCCACAAATAATTCAAAACCAAAATTAGCCAAATCGGTCCAGCCGTTTTCGAGTTTTAGCGAGACTAACGAACAGCAATTCATTTTTATATATAGAGATAATAACAGATTTTATAACTTATTTCTCTCTTTTAGTCCTTAGAAATCTACCGTTTTTAGATGTTTTGACGTAGAAAACAGAATTAAAAAACATGTAATAATATTTTAAATTTTAAATTTCACTTACAGTGATTAATTGTACTGTATTTTTAAAAATGTAAATATGCGATGTTGATGTGAATTCGTTTCATTGGTGTGATGAACAAGTTTGTTTGTTCATTGT